TCTCTCTCTCTCTCTCCTTCCCTCCCTCTCTCTCTGGTACGAATGAATTTCTACATCTGTCTGTAATGTGACATATTAACTACAACAACTACTACAACAAAATCAAAACAGAAACCCTAAACAGTGCAGTGTGCTCTCACTAAAAGTCAAGATACGTCTTATTAATCTAGAAGTGGGCTCGTAGATATGATTGTAGCAGACATTTGAAGGAATTTAAAGATTTCAGCTTTCTTAAATTACTAGGCAATGCTTTCCAGATCTTGGGGACATTATATCATGCAAGTCAAGCACTTTCGCCTTTTGTTTTTCTGACGTTTCATTATGGTAAAGCAGGTGCAAAGAGTCAACAGAATCCAATAATGTAAGTTGGGAACATCGTCGCCATCAAATACACCCTTAGACGTAGGCCTCAGAAATGTTAATAATTCAAATTTGAGCCGTGTGCACAACACTCCAACCTGTTTCATTGCATCAAAGTAGCCTGTTCACTTTCGGGCCTCTTTGATAAGCAGTCACAAGCACTGATTATGTAAGCTACCAGCTGGATTGGTGGAAAGTTGATCCCGCATCCGATCCGGACATTGGGGATTGCCTTGTTAGTGAGACAACTTCCTAGGCTTTGGGCATATTGTGGTAGGGTGGCCAGTTCCTTTCCACGCCGCCTTTACTTCCCCAACTCGAAGTCAGGTACCCATTACCGCTGAGTGGGCAGGAGGGGGCGAAAAAAAATCCGTGTCCGAACCGAGGCTCGAACCCGGAGTTTCCGCTTTGAAGAAGAGCGCACTAACCGCTTCACCACCGCACCCTTGACCATCAATGATAATGTATTTATAGAGGCACCGGCTATCCATGTCCAGGGGCTGTTTTAGCCTTGCCACTTGCCACCGCACCCTCTACTTGAAAGGGGGGGGGGTGCAACTCTTAATATAATCTCGTGGCTCCTGTGAGAGCTTCTTGTGTTCCTCGACGTTTTACCTGCTCTCAAATCAGGTCACGGTTTGATTTCCTGCCCATAAAAGGCTAGCCTAGAAAAAGACAGCAAAATTGCAAACCAAATCGTTAATACATAATTTGTAGTATTGTCATCTCTGCCTCTTTGCCTTCTGTTTCTCACTGACCGTTAGTTCAGACCATTCTTCTCACCGTGCGTTTAAAAGACATAATTACGTTTTATCCAGTGAGGGCATAAAATTATTAGAGAAATTTTCTAGATCATTTTGGCTTGTGAACTTACAATAATGCGAATTAAAGATTTTATTTGAGCGGCAAAATGAGCATTGAGGTTTTTTTTATTTTTATTCTTTTTATAAATCATTTACGTGAATTTTCTCAAAACCTTAATGATGTCAGTGAAGAACATTGTGAAAGATTTCATGAAGACTTTAGGCTGATGGAGGAGGAGAGGTGGCGCGATGGATGGACCACCAACACCATAGATACATCGCTACTGGAGCTTTTTTTTTCATTATTTTTTTTGGTAAGTGATTTACGGCGCTCGCAACTGCATAAGGTAATAATATTACCGCGCGGACACAATAAACTTTTTCAGTTGGTAGTAAATTTTGAATTTTTTCCCGGGTGGTGGCCGATGCCTACTCTTATCGATTTTAGACCACCAAGGGATCTTTAACGTGCGCAACTTGCACACGGGCCCTTCCGAGATTTTTCGCCCTTGTCAGAGAAGGCTAGGTGTAGATCTTTCCTACCAGAAGATCAGGGGTGTAGCTGAAAGACAGCAGTAAGAAATAGCCAAGGAGTAGCAGTAGAAAGGCTGCAGAATGAGTCAGGAGCCCAGAGGAGGGAGCAAAGGAGGTGAGGGGGTGTGGGGCAGAAAGAGGAGACGAAAGCAGACAACAGAACATTGCTAGAGAGCCGGAAAGGAGGTGAAAGGAGATCATTTTAGACCAAAAAAATGTTCGGTCTTAACCCAGATTCGAACTCTGGACTTTTGAACGAGAGGCCAACACCTTAACCTCCAGGCCACGAGAGCCCCCGTACTGTAACGTTCCAAGAAATTGTCCAGACACAACGCACCACAAACAGTCCTTCCAAAGGAACCTTCTGTCAGGAATAGATTGATGGTGCCTCCAACTTAAGTCCTTAAGTACATTCCAACTCGCAGGTTAAGATTATCTTTACTTTACTTTACTTTTATCCGCGGCTTTTACTCTTTTGGGTGTCATGGGAAGAAAGAGGCGTCTCTCTGTCGCCAGCCGGAGAGCTTGGGTCAGGGGGATGCCGTGGGTGGTTAGTGTTTCCCTGACTCCATCTATCCACGTCTTTCTCGATCGCCCTCTAGCCTTGTTGTTTGAGGTCATCAGCTGACAACAAAAATTCTTTTACCTCCTATGAAACTTAAAACAATTGGTGTAAGCGCATAATTTGAGTATCAAGGCCCCAAGATCAAGGTCTGGAATGTTTTACCAAGTACTATAAGAGAGATCAAACCTTTTGATTCATTCAAATGTCAGCTGAAGTCGTTTCTGTTTTTAAGTTAATAAGACGAATATTTGGAGTGATTTTCTTTAGTCAGAACACAACGTTTTATGTCACTGTTGTACGTTGTACTGTATTGTAAAGCGCTCAGAGCCTGTGTACTTTAATCAGGGTTGGGGGCTATATAAATGTCATTTATCACTATTATTATCAAGTACCGTACATAATAATAATTTATGTGGCGTCGATAGCCTTGTGGTTAGGCTACCGGACTCGTAATCGTGAGGTTGCGGGTTTGGGGGTTCGAGCCGCGGGCCCGACGATGTGTCCTTGGACAAGGCACTTTACACGCATGTTCTTTTCTTCACCCATGTGGGGATGGGTACCAAGCCATTGACAGCAAAAGATCTACTACTACTACTACTACTACTACTACTACTACTACTACTACTACTACTACT